TCCCCCCCCCCCCCCCGGGTCTCCTTTGTTTCGAGCAAATACACATGGGCGTTCACGTTTATTACTCGGCCCGGCCCGTCGGCTCTCGCCGATTGGAATTTGTTTTCGATTAACGGAATGCGCGAGACGCGCTCGGCAAACACGATTTACGTTAGATTACGCCCGAAAATGTTAATTCACTGAGCCCGAATCTCCGCTCCCGACCTGTTTGCGATCGCATCGATTCGGCCCGCTTTTATCGGCATTCCCGTGTCCGCGTATGTGCGGGCGCGCATGCGTGCATGTGTGAGTGAGTGGAGGGCATGTACAGCGATACCTATCGAGATATTTGGACGTGCTGTTTCAAAAAGTTCCGAACCCTGGAAAAACGAGAGGGTAAAAATTAGCAGAAAACGGAAAGTGCTGGATTCTGCCGAATAATTCCAGAGAAAAGAATTTTTTTTTTTGCGCATGTTGTTCGGTTCCAAAACGGAGCCCTGTAACCAAGAATACTAAAATTCTCATTTCTCCAATGATGCAATATGAACTTTTTTAAACTTGGCAGTTGATCGCTTTTCAAAACAAACACGGGGTTGAACGCTCACCTTTTTACAGTAAATGAAAGGACTGAAAAAAATAAGAGGTGCGCGCGAACCATAATTATTTACATTACAAAAGAGGAGTTTTATAAGAGAACTTCAAAATGCGTTTCCTTTAATAGTTGTGTTGCTTGAACTGCGGATAAGACGAAACTATAGTACCAAACCAGTGGCGTGGCGTGCTTTGCGATATATCGCTGTTCTGTCATTTAAACCTATGGTAAAGAATCGATTACCAAGGTGTTCGCTGCGAACACCCTGATTATCGATCCTTTTCCATAGGTTTCAATGACATAACAATCGATATATCGCAAAGCACGCCACGCCACTGTACCAAACATGTTCCAAATATGCTAATTTAACCAATAATATTTTCGAAATCCTCATGGGGTGATAATCAATGCGCTTGACAATGAGATTGCCGAGTCGGTTTATGAGCTTAGCCAGGCTGTTCCGATCAGCGTTGCACATTGCATCCTGCCTGAGATGCATGACTTCGCCGCTTCAATTCAGCTCTTGTACAGTACGTTAGAGTAAACACCGATCAAGTCGGAAACTTTGACTCGATACAGAGAGCTTCGAATTAGATTTTAATTTAAGTTCAGAAAAGTTTGCTCATCGACAGTTCCTATTAGTGCCACGAGAGAATACTTAAGTTTGAAAAGTTGCAATCTCCATCATGTGCTGTATTTGCGTGAGCAAATACAACATACGTGCATCTATCTATTCGCAATCTATTTTTGATTTCCAGGTTATTAGCTTGTTCTAAAGCTTTAAAGTTCCTGAAAGTTTCCTCTGATTAAACAAACTGCAGCTTCAAACCCTATGACAGCCTCAACATCGGCCATCAACTCGAGTTAGCATCAAGTAACGCATCACGCCGGTTTTCTATTTTGAATGCTTCTGTAGCTCAGAATGATTGAACGTTCGTAGATCTACAGAATTATAATCAAAATCAAAATTATAATCATCTTATTCCTCGTCATCATTACCATTTTATCGACAGCATCTTTCAATTTGAGCTCATGCAGTTTCGTAAAAGTTCGTAAAAGATCGAAGTGAGGTGCGTTCCAACTCAATGATAGATCCCAGCGTAAAACTGTAACAAAAACTTTTGCTCAAAATACTAGAAATCGACAAAAATTGGACAAATTCAACCAGAATTAACCTAACTACACCAAATGTTGCCTAATCTTCTTTTAAGTTTTATTAATTACCTGATACAGGTAATACAGTTAAGAACTGAGCAACACTCGGATTTGAAATGTTTTGAGTACATAATTCAGTACATAAGAATCAAGGCGTTCGAACCAAAGTACACTCTACTACCGGTATGGACAAATGGCATTTTAGAAAGTCGTCGAAACGCGTAGATTTGACGGCGTCAAATGGTACGACTGCGACGCCATATTGAAAACTTGTTTACGTTCTCAACTGAGAGTGGGTCTCGTCAATTTCGTGTTCTTAGTTAAGTTTTTCGTTATTTTGAGTTGTATCAATTTTTTCAATTGGTGTCAGACACAAAGCCATAAAACCAGCAGAAGAAAAAGAAAAAAAATTAAATTAAATTCATCTTATAGCTTATTGAAGCTACCAGATCTGCCAGAACCTTTTCGAAGGTCATTTTGAACTGCGTGGCAAAGACGGCACGACTTGCGACGTCACTCGACGGCCTATATTGAGTGGCGGATCAAGCAATTTGGCAACACCGGATTTCCTCCATTTAAGCCTATGGAAATGTATCGATTCTTGGAGGAGCCAGGTGCACGTATAAGAATCGATACATTTCCATAGGTATATACGGCGTAAATCCGGTGTTGCCAAATTGCTGGATCCGCCTCTGCCTACATGCTCAGCGCTGCCACTACGGCACCCCGTTTGTCCATAACCTGTAGCAGAACGTACCTTGTGCCCGACCCCTGTTTTTGACTGGCACAAAATGAAGTCAACGCCTGACTTACTTTAAAAAGTATAACAACTCAACAAAAGATTGACTAGACGGTGGTTTCGATGGCGACGAGGTCGTGTCAACAGATGTCCTTGACGCCGATGAAGAGGTCGTCGGTGGAGGGCAGCTGGGTCTGGAGCTGGTGGATGTGCTTGGCGGAGTCCCCGTTCTGGTTGAGGTGGAGGTGGTTGTGGCCCCCGTGGGGGTGGGGGTGGGGAGGTCGGGGCCGCTCGGAGGGGTCGTACTTCTCCTTGCTCCGGCTCCGGATGCACAGGGTGAGGAGGAGGAGGACGCTGAGGATGAAGAGGCAGCTGCTCCCGATCGTGATGTACAGGAAGGAGACGCCGAACTGGAAGGCGCAGTTGGACTCCTCCTCGTCGAAGCCGCCCGGGCAGTGCGGCTTCCCGTCGCACCACAGCGTCCACGAGATGCACGCGTTCAGCTCCGGGCATCTGTCCCAACAAACGACAAAACAAATTGAACGACTTGTTTGAAGAACGACGCACAGTGGATCGAGTCAATAGGAGAGATCGGACACAATTTGGAAACTCAAGACGCTTATGACTCCGTTTATACAACATTTTGAGGCTCTAAAAGTGGTTTCATTGGTTTTCGCTTGCAATTTTTTTCTGGACAAAACTCTTTAGAATGTGACGAGATGGACAGCAAAATTTGCAGTTTTAGTCGAAAAGTTCATGTCCCACCTCTCTAAGTGACTCGATCCACTATGTGACGTAAAATACGAGAGTCTAAAGTTTCGAGAAAACGCAGACGAAAGTTATGTTTCCATAATGGAGAATCAGCACGTAAATTCTTTACTGCTGCAAGCATCTGAGACCGCTCGAAAAGCTGATTTCGCAGTATTTTTTATGATTTTTTTCCAAGGTGGGAAAAAGTACAAAAATAGATTTAAAATTTAGAAAATGTATCGCGTTACATGGGCCTAAATTGAGTGAGCACCGACTTATGTAAATGAATCTCTCCAATGAAAACAATTATTGAAAGCGCCCATGAAACCTGCACCAATACTACCAATATTATGTGGAAGCGGGAATACTACGGGAGTTTTTCGTCCTGCGGGCCAGCGTCAAATGTTCTTTAGACTTTTTTCCTCCAAAATTATTTTTCCTATAATAAGTCTCGACATTTTTTTGTAAAAATACCCCTTTGCTGTTTACAGTCATTCTATTCCCTTTGGAAGCACCCTTAAAGTGCGCTATTGGCACCAGTCTGATGAAACATAAATTTCTTACTTGGCCGTCTATCAACGGTGGAATAAGCAGCCCTTTTTGTTCTTTAAATACACTTTATTTCCTTTAAAAACACCCTGAAAATGCGATATCGGCACCAGCTCTAATGAAACATAAATGTCTTACTTAGCCGTCTGTCAACAGTGGAATAAAGACGATGCACAAATTATATAACGCATCGAAAAGAGGTGGAGTGTCTTTGACAGCGTTACGCTCAATTACGGAGCCAGAATAGTTCGTTACTAAGGTATCGGGTATAGAAATAGAGGAAAAAATACAGGCTTACGCAACTCCTCCTTCAGATTTTCTTTTTCATGAAAAACTGATCAATGACGGTAGCGACAGTTTGATTATGGTATGAAACTGCACTTAATTAAATATTTAATACGCTTATTTTTTAATGAAAAATATAGGAAGGAATTTCTTTATTTGGTAAAAATATTAAGTAATTGTTTCATTTGCCTGTAGGCTGATTCAATTCAGAAGTGGACTTGTTGCAACTCAAGAAAAATAACGAAATGTTAAGAAGACGTTCTTTAGTTTTTGTTTCACTGGATAGCCATTGAGAAGTTTCCTGCTCTAATTTTGAAATAAATTGTAGATTAAAATATCCCATTAGATTTTTTTATTTGACGCAAGAAAAATGTCTCTACAGTACTTGTAAATTCATGCGATGATTATCCTGCAAAAATTACTCGTAATGCGGAAATCGTGATGCTTTGCAATAAATTTTCACTTTGATTTTACCAAATTATTTTGATTATTTGATTTTACGAATTTGACCAAACGATATCCTGCGGGACACACGAGGAAACTGAACGTTCGCAGTTGTAAAATATCGCGAGAGACGATGGTGCCACTGGTTTTCTCTGAAATTACCCCCCCCCCAGCTAAAAAAAAAGCTCCCAAAGTTTAGGCCGTAATGAAGGGGATATGCCACGCTACAGTGAGAGTCTACCTCTATATTTAATCAAACTCTCCATGCACAGTTAGAGGGAAAATGTAAACGCAGGGTTGCCACTTTTTGGGGGATTCCAAGGTTGGACCACAGTAACCCTACTAATTTATTCGCTCCCTATCTGCACACGGAGAGTTTGATCAGATATGGCAGCGGACTCTCAAAGTGGCAAAAGGCGTGAGATTTCCCCTCCTTTACGGTTTGAACTTGGAGAGCTCTTTTTTAGCTTGGGAATTTATTTCAGAGAAGACCAATGGCACCATCGTGGTTTGCATACTTTTACATGAAGGGAAGTGCTAAAAACGTAAACCCGAACACCTGTAAGAACACCATTATTCGGTTTGAATTTTTCAAAAAGGAACCACGAGGGAACCACGATGGACCAATGTTGCTGAGATTGTGCAACTTCATCCATTGCAATATAACTATTGAAATCCTGGAAAAATGTGGAATTTACGAGGAATTTTTTGTCCTAAATTTACAGCTTTTGGCAAGTAAAATAGAAACTGTTTATAGATAATCAGGTTTTTTTTTCAAGACAAAAGCAGCTGCATAATCTTAGCAACGTTGCAATACTCCTAGTTCCATTTTGCAAGATGCAATCCATTTATGATATCGATTCATAACGTATTCGAATACGTACCTGTAGGGGCAGTCTAGGATGGTGTGCTCGCTGGACAGCCTGGACGAGACGGCCGGCGCGAGATCCGGCCTCTTGGAGACCTGCATCCAGAATATCGAATAGCTCTCCGTCTCTTGTTCGTCACCGATGAACTCGACGACGAAATTCCTCTCGAGCGGCTTCAAGATGGTGTAATCCTGGTTGAAGGCGTCGTGCCAGCCCTTGGAGAAGAGCTGCACGTCCTCGTCGAAGCTGGTGTAGCGCGACGTATCCTGCGGGCAGACCACCTTGAAATCCCTCGAATCCGCGACCGAATACACGACCACGCGGTTCTTCGTCGAGCACTGCGTCTGGTACAGCTTGTCCTGCCAGTGGAGCAAACTCTGGTACCCCAACTCGTAGCCGCGAACCCGGAGATACAAATAACTATCGCTCGATTGGATTAAATACGGGTAGTTATTGCAAAGCAGATGCTCGGGTAGCCTAATCTGAGTGATTTTTACCTCGGAGTTGTGGTCCACGACTTCCGGTTTCCGCGGCAGAGTGATCTCCCCACTAGTACCGCTCAATCGCCGGTCTAGTTTAAGTAGCTCGCATTTGCGGACGCTGTCCGCGTCGGCGATGTGAACGAAGTTGAACTCGCCTTCGAAGAAGTAGTCGTTGTAGTCCTCGGTTATGTTCATGTTTAAAATAGTGAAATTAAGCTCGATGACGGATGATATGAGACTGGTGAAGGTGAGCACTTTGTCGAGCTCGGAACAAACGCAGTGCCGCGGGAGTTTGATCTCTTCCGCCCACGGGTACTCGTTGATCCAGAGCTCGCTCACGCCCTCTGTCGAGTTGTGCGGGGAGTTGAAGAAGCCGAAGGTGTGGAACTCCCGCGAGCAGACCTGCTTGCCGGGGATCCGCGAGTCGAAGACGGTGCTGCACAGCCGGTTGCCGAACTTGACCCGCGTGAGCTTGATGCGCACCTGCTCGTCCCAGCGCGGCTCGAAGCGGAAGATGCAGGTGACGTTGCGCCGCCCGCCGCGCCCGTAGAAGAAGACGCTCTTCGGGGAGCGGAAGGAGCCGAGGGGGGACTTCTCAGATTTGAAGAGCCGGTCGCACTGGTTGCCGGACTCGTTGTAGCGCGCGCCCTCCAGCGCCGTGTTGACGAACTCGTAGCGGAGGAGGAAGTTGATCGGGTAGAGGACCGAGCCCTGCCGGAGGAAGAGCTCCAGGGTCAGGTCCTGGCTCCGGGAGATGTAGCTCTCCGAGAGGGAGCAGGGGCGGGTCATCCGCGTCGTGTTGCTCAGGAAGTAGTGGTCGCACAGCTTCGGCGCGTCCTCCTTGCAGAACTCGTGTATCAACGTCGAATTCGTCTAAATTAAAAAATGAAATAAAAACATGTAAATAATATACCGAAAGAAAAGCAAACTATGGAGCGGTAAACAAGGTTCAAAATTAGGCATTCTGGTACGGATATCTCGACCGGGAGTTTACGTGAAACAAGATTTCCTCAATTTAAATTAATTACATGGACTCCTAACTGAAATACTAAAGTTTTTATTTTACATTCGTTACGGGAGTTTTGAATTCGCCGTTCACAAGGAAAACAATAGTTTACTGAATGAAATAGCGCGGTACATCGCTATTGGCTGGCTTTTCATTCGATCAGTGTTCCTTCGCCGTCTTGTGCTGTTCAAAATGTTCAACAGGTGCGAAATCTGAGCCGAAGCACCGAGAAGGTTGACATTTTTTCACGTTTGGCTCACGTATAGACTTTAGTTTTTTCGTAAGCGGGAGATTTGAATTTATGTGTCAAGAAACATAAAATATTTTAGTTGAGAGTTAATTTTAGTAGTTTCTATTAACATTTTGTCAGGCTAGGCGTAACATTTTGGCTAAGAAAAATGTATCAGAATGCTTAAGTTCGTACCTTGTCTACTGGTCTAATACGAATAATCCGAGCAGACGGCATTCTGTGAAACTCGATATTTAAGGGTATATTTTGATTGGAACTGTTGTCGACGTGGAAAAGAAACTTCTCGGCATAAAAAATTCAGACTTTCAGCATTAGTTTGGAATGAAGTTAATTAATTTATTTTAAACCAAAACATCATGTTAGGCTATTCAAAACACTGTAATATAAAAAATTACTCATCATTTTTCATTATACGTGTGAAGCGCAAGTCAAAACATTAAAACTCTACTCTCCACTCTACTCCACTCTACTCGTAGGTTGCGATCGAACCGATATAAAACGCCTTCAAATGCGTGTGATACTGTGCAACACACCGAAGTTTGAATAGTTGTATTCTTGGGTTGGAACCTAACTCGTGTATACTGCTCTACCAAATAGGACATGTCAACCTGTTAACCTTGTGTATTTTATGTTACTTCACATATATTATACCCATAATTGTCCGTGACCAAAAATTAAGCCTCAATTTAATTAATTTAATTATTATTATTATTATCACTTAATGCAGCCGACGAAAGAGGCTCACCTGAGGGAAACCCTGTTCTAATGTTTATAGTTGTTGAGCGTGCTCGTTTTGCACCGGCGGATATTTTTTGACGGGAAACTCGAATATTCAGTCAACATTTACCCGCAGCTAAGATAGGTAGATCTTGATATGAGCGCGCTCTTCAAAACTAATGTGTTAAAATTGCTTGTTTGCATTCTCTCCGCGAAAAATAGAATAGCCTGCTAGTGATGAGTGACAACAAGTTTATACGTAAAACGAAAAAAATCAAGCATTTTTCTTCTTTTTTGGTCCTTAATAACGCATAGTAATCGTTAATATATTCATTTTTACCCTGTGTTGGGACACTGGTATAATTTGAATTGACGACCACTATGATTAGGATACATTTTGCAGGACGGAATTACTACTTCCCGCTTATCAGTAAAATCACCTATCCTCATAGGGAAACTAATTGCACATAAGTTGATTCTAAAATGAGCCGGAAATAGTGGTTCCTTCTTGCGAAATGTAGTCCAATTATTCCTCTTCGAGTGGAAAAATAAAAATGATTCTCGTGTTGCTGGGCTAGATTTATTTCCACTACTGAGTTAGAATAGGAGTGAGCAAATTTATTGCGTCAAGAGCAATTAATTTCGTGCAAAATGGATTGCACGGAGTTGAGATTTGTGATTTAATCCGAGGACCAGCTTTTAAAGGTCCATAACCCCGCACCGTTTCAACGAGCGACATGATAACTCGTTTCTTATTTCGCAAGGACCCAATAAAACGACCTTAAATGAACAGCGTTAAAGAAGCCAGCCATTCCTCCGTTGAGCCATTTACAAAAAAAGCCCACTCATTTCACGCATTGTCTGAAGGACTCTTAGTGCTTCAGATAAGGTGAAATAAAGATTTGAAATTAAATTTCAATAAATCGAATACAAATTTTAGTTCATAAAATCACATCGTACCGTGTTTTCACTTAAACAGCTATTAATGATTCAATACGAGAGAATTCGCTATAAACACGAGTAAAGAGGAATGTTGGCAGTTACTACATTCCTAATTATACGCGATCCCCATGAAATTTAGTAATTGTCTAGATTTCTGTCAGTACCGATACTGGTCTCGGGTGAATGGTTCAGGAGGTGTTGAGCATTTCATTCTGCGAAACAAACAGAAGTTTTGTGAACTTGTGTGGCTCATTATCTTACTCAAAGCTCATCATCCACCAAATAGGTAGGTCAGCAGCCAACACAGGAGTGATAAATTTTGCTATATTGTAATTGGACTACATCTGGCGATCAAGGACTGGTTCAGCTGAGAAAAAATGTAAGTAATTATCGTTAATTTCCCTACGCACATAAGTGTATTAGCCAGAATTTTAAGTTTCTAATTGAAGTCCAATTGTCCTTAAGACACGGTGTCTAGAATTCTTGACCACGCTCATTCCTTGATTTTTAGTGGCTCGTTCTCTGATTGGAAACCGAATTCGTCTCCCACTTTCAGGTATTTTCCTAGGCAGGGTGTTTAATAAAACAGGCTGGCGAAAAAGCAGTACTTTTACAGAGCTTTTTCAGTACATTCCTAAGAAATTAAATGCATCCTCGGCGGGAAAATTCAGTACTTTTTCAGTGCCTCCAATTGACGAAATTCGAAAAATTTTAATATCTCGCTCAAATTGCAACAAAAATGACAAAAAATCTCAAAAAAAATCCGGACCTAATTCCGGAATTTCCGCACTTTTTCGGTACTTCCGGACTGCCCCTAAAAAATCAGTACTGTTTCCATACTTTATGGACTTGAAGACACCCTGTTGGGGGAAAACGTATAAACATGCAGAGTTTTAGTTATGAATATAGAAGTTTTTTCATCTCTCCCACCTGTCGCCAAGAGGCTAAAGGAAGGTCTCTCTTTGTCTCTGTTCCTTGTTCTTGATTTGAGATTAGGTTACCTAGGTTAGATTGAGTTAGGTTACGAGGTGGTTACCTGGGGCTGTGCCTCAGACGGGAGCCTGCCGTCCCAGATGCGGAGGCGGGCGTTGCACTCGGCGTCGTGGTAGGCGCCGGACTGGATGGTGCCCGCGCTGGCCGCGTGGTACTTGATGAAGGAGAGCCACACGGTCTCGTCCTTGCGGCCCTGGAACTGGTAGAAGCAGGTCGTGTTCGGGGGCAGGCTGTGCCGGGGGTTCTCGACGAGGCCCCACGAGGAGTCGAAGGAGCTCACCGTGAACAGGCACTTGAGCCGGCTCCGACCGCCGTCGCCCGCCCTGCTCCGCTGCCCCCCGCCCGCGCCCCCCACGCTGGACACGCCCCCTGGACTCGAACTCGAGCCCGAGCGGGCTTCGACGTACATGATCTGCAAAAGCAATGAATACACGCAATATTGTTATACATTAACAGTCAACAAGGAAAAACGATTTAGTGCTGAGCATACTGACTGTCCAGATCAAGGAGTTCAGGACTGTTCAGGATCAACTGGACTACATACATACATATCAAGCCGCTAACTCAGCGCACTAGAGCGCTCTGCAATTCCAAATCGCCATCGACATCGATCCTCCCACAAATCATCGGGCAGATTACACCGTCTGATCTCCCCCTCCACTCCCTCCCGCCAACCTTTTACTGGACGTCCACGCCGCCAACTGGACTACATTTTGCAATTTGGACCTACAGATTCTGGCCCGGTTTAAAAACAACATATGTGCCATTAGTTTTCCTATGCACATAAGTATTTTCCCAGAGGAGCCAAAATTTATAGTTCCAAATTGCAAAATGCAGTCTAACTGTTCAGGATACTACGGGCATATTGGTATCGAAAAATTGATCTCTTACGGTCGAAAAGGGGAGCCAACCTACTAACACGAAAAACGCTAGAAAAATACCTACCGCTACTAATCTTCAGGTTCCAATATCAAAGCAAAATGCCCAAAAATGTTTGTGAATGAGCATCCCCCATGAGTAAAATGATAAAACTAAGTTAAATACGTGCTTTGCAAGCAACGTGTCGTAATAACTGTGATAATAAATCATTTATGACGATTTGATTTCATAGATTGGCTGCTCCTTTGGGCCTTAACGAAATGACCGACTTGTCCGTACTCTCTCCGCATGGCCACGCGACCCATAAGCACAAAGCCCATAAGCGCAAAATAAAAACGCACCCACAAGCGGAAACGTCTTTTTTGCGCTTCTGCGCCGCAATTTCTTTGCATTTGCGCTTTTGGGACTTGCCGCTCCGTATAGTTACTCAACATGTCATTAGCCCTTGATAAATTTTATAGTGAGCGATCACTATTGAACCACCAAGTTTTTGAATGCGGACATACGGAACATAGAATGAACCGAAAACGGAAACGCAGAACTGCATATTGACGGTCTTGCATCAATGAACGTGGGACCGCATTATGGCGATCCTGCGTTAACCTGGATGGGTGTTCACATGGAGATTCGAAAGGGTATAACGCAGGACTGCGCTCCGGCGGTTTTGCGTCCTTGATCCTGGAATCGCCCTGCGGTTTTTACGCGACTGAAGTTTCAGTCTTTAGTATCATCCGAAGTATTCCATCTGTCACCGAACATTCAGATATGAATCGGTCGTTAAGTTAATGTAATCTGATACCTCATCCGTTCCAGGAACAGAGAGTTCAGTCTGGTCAACGCAGTAGCTGCGTACAATTTTTCGTATCCAAAATATCTTGCAACTGAACTATTCTTCCCAGGTATAAAAATTTGTGGCCGTGTAACCTTGAGAAAACAATCGATACTTAGGGCAAAAAATATTGATAGTGATTTATTTAAACGATTTTCACCTACATATACATCACGAAACTTGTTTTAACGTACAAAACATATTACAAATCATGACAAAAAATGCGCATTCATTCTGGCCTCTTCGATGCGTTTACTTTTGATCAACAGTGTTTCACATGCCTGAATAGATGATTCCAAATAGTGCCTTAAAATATTGGGAATAGTGATTTTCTGGATGAAATACACAGAACACAATCAATGAAATAGAATCTGCGCAAGAAAAAATAATTTTTTTGAGCAGAAATGGCAATGAATAAGAGGGAAATTGAGTGGAACGCGCCACCTCCCCACCTCAGGACTTCATAAGGGGGAAAAGTGTTTGACTCATCCTGGTTCTGAAGTTTTGCATTCGCTCAATATTATTCGTAAACGCTCCCATCTCATTTCGGAGTTCACTTTCAAACTTGTTAGGCGACTTATTTTCCCCAAGAAATTTCCAACAGAGAGCGAGTAAATAAGTTCTTTGATTCAAACTCTGATCAGCTTTTTATCATTTGGAAGGTTTTTTGCATTTTTCCAATTTATTCAGAAGAGCTAACCGTGCATTTGATTCTACTCTGTGACGCTCGGAGGAAAAAGCAAAACAGGCAATATATTTTAGAGACACTCCCCCCCCCCTCCACTGTCAAACTAAGCGATGTATTCGGGTGGGGCAAAAGTTAAAGTCCGAGGTTAAATTGTTGATTGTGGATTGCATTTAGCAAAAAAGAACCAAAAGCATTTCAATGTTCTAGGATTGTGCATAACTTAAATTCTTTGCAATATAATTACTGAAATCACGCAAAAAATTAAATTTACAGAGGTGCTAAAAATTACCCCCAATTACCAACTTTCATTGATATTGATTTATAAACATTTGTCAGTGTTTAACAGACGATTTTTTCCCTCCAACTTCGGGGGGCCGTGGCTTCCAGGGAAAGCGTTTTAGGAAAAGGAGTTATACCACAAAAACGTCGTACATCGACCCGCAGAATCGACTCCTTCGATATTCATACTTAATCCTGGGACACCCTGTACAGAGAAAATAGCAGTGTTGGATCTCTGAAGTATATCGTCTCCGGAGCCAAACTTAGAGGAATCGAAACCCAGCGGAACAGCTTTTACGATACGACAACAAGGCGGAGGATGATCAAGTTCGATTAAGCTTCAAGCAAGCGTTGCTGATATTCCAGAAAATCTTCCTAATTTACATTCACTCGCACGAGGTATTTTCCGCAAAAAAGGCAACGCCACTTTGCACGGTGCTTGGGGCTGCGTGTGTACTTCCATACTCGGCTTGGATGTTAACATGCACCGAAGAGGATTCCTACCACTTAATCGATGTTCTTCAATTAATCCACGCCGACAAGCCACATTCAATAAGGTTTTATACCGCTCTACGGGGTTTTATACTCGCGCTCTCCTCTTCTTTCGCCTTGCCGCACAGTGGACCGAGTCAGCTGGAGTAGTTGAGCATAATGCGGAAACTTTAAATGCATATAAAAGAAATGTATACACTCAAAAATGACACCAGTGTGTTCATCGGACAATTGCCTATACGATGCATCCCTTAAAATTTAGAATGTGACGAGAAAAATATAAAAATTCACGGTTTTAATCAAACAATTAATTTTGGGCTTCTCCCAAAGTCTAGTTCCACTGTGCGTCACCCGCCCGGTAGAAATTCAATTTGAAACCGTGGCTTCGGGTTTCCTCTTTTTTGTGTGCGGCGGCTCGGCGATGCGGTGAAACAATCACACAGACCACGCACGGAAGAAAAATCTCTGTTCTAGGTGTTTTATCGAGTACAACGCTAGGACTCCCTGTATTTCATCCACGGAACTTCCGGATCCACTGTTATTCTGTGACATGAAGCATATTTCTCTTCCATTTCGACACTTAGGCGAAAATAACCCCGAATAGCTTCGAAGTAGTCGCTAGCTGTAACCGTGAAAAAAGTTCATTTACAGATGCTGAGACATCATTTGAAGTTAGGTGTTCCAAATGAACATCGACCTTTTTCGGCTGAGGTATAACCGAAGTTTTCGTTTAGGTGAACTAAAATTTGATTTCTATGACCGATATCTGAACCGGACTTGTTTACCCCGTGTTCAATCTTTTTTGCATTCTCGTTGAAATCACAAAAACGAACGCCCGTTTTTCCTTCGCATGTGTAATAGCTATGGATAGGTAAAGAGAGGGCTCTTACAGATCGATAACTAGCACGAATTTATAAATATTTCGGATGAAAAATGAGAGTTGCACGCTATAGGCTTGAAGAACAAATGAAAAATTACATCCGAAAAAGGTTATGGCTTTGAAAGAAACTCCGGGGCAATAATGATACACTCGACTGCAAAAATTCTTACTCGCAATAAAAATATCTCCTATATTATAAAGTTTTTCTATTCTCTATTCCACATTGTTGCCAAACGACTGAAAAACGTAGCGGCTCTTTAAACTTATTGTTTCTTGGGGGAGCCCCCATGTGCTTAAGTGATTTCGGAGGTTAAATGAGGCATTTAAAATACCTTCATAAGACAAAATTTTACGAGCTTAAGGTAAAGTCCATCAGTAAAACTTTAAAAATAGATCTTCCTTGAGAATACAATGATTTGCCCTCACGAAAAGTAAAAGGAGAACAAATAAAATGCGGGTTTTGTCAATTTTCAGGAAGTTCCGCGCCTACCTTTCATATTGTCAAAATTATAGAACACATCCTTTTTCATTTTGTATTTTTTGCGGTGCGAAATCATGGTTATTCGAGGCAAAAAAGATCCAAAAATTTCATTTGATTTAAAAATTTAAATTCTAATGAGTATTAAGTGCTAAACTGAGGGGAAATTGTGTCCAGCCATCTTGCATACTCATTGACTCTCATAACTCTACTCATAACTATTGATACTCATCAGAGTTCCGAGGTTCGAATCTATACAATTTTTGAAACTTTTCAGCCTTGCTTTCCTCGAAGAAAAGTGTGGATCCAACACTATTCTACCATCCTGTCACTTACAGATCGGGTCATATTTGTCGTGTTTTGCCCTCGTTCGTTCATGCAACTTTAAAAAGTACGAGAAAATCGAGAAGCCTGTTGGCAACCCCCGTTATACCGCAAGTATTATCCAACGTCGGCTCAAATAGGTAACTATTGAAAGTAAGTTCTCGAGCGTCTCCGCCAAATGGGAGTTAAAAGTAGATGCCAAAGAAGTCCCCTGGAAAAAAAACCCGAGCGAAGAAGCAGAAGAGGAGCAGTAAATACAAACGTAACGACGAAAGAGTCAGTTTAACTTCCATCGAGCGAGAGTGCAGGGTGGAATTGTAAATGAACTTGAGAAATTCGAGTCTTTGAACCGCCGACTTCGAGGTTACTTTTTTTGAGAGCTTACGTCCGCGTTGCCACGCGTCCGAGGATTTCCCTCGCGCGAGCGTTGTTCCCGTCGACTCGACGGAATTTCGAGGGTTCTTTTCAACTTCGGAAGGGTAAAAAATTCGGTGAAAATTACGGTTAATTTTATGACTCGCGAAAACGTGACAGCTCCTTTGAACACGGTTCGCGCGCGTTAT